ATCTTCCCTGGATTATTATGTAAACACGGTAATAACTTTTTTTTTTTTTTTCATCTCAGTCCAGTTTTATCTGCCTAGATATCGCATATTCAGGACAATATCGCAGCGAAATACAGGCTTCAACAAGGGACTGCCCCAAATAATATTCCTGTTGAAGTTTGACTCTTAATTCCTTCTGATAATTTAACGTAAAGCAAATTAAGCAAATCTGTTGTGGACATCACATCAATTCCTTGTATGGCCTATTAAATTATAAGCATGCCGCACTTCATTTACACTTATTTCCTCGAATTATCCTAGCTTAATTAACTGATTTCTCGAGCTAAAATTCAAAACTGACATTTAAAATTTCAAATTTTGAAGTTAAATATCTCGGTCAATTTTTATTGTTATGAAGTTTCTTGTATTGTTATTTTTTTCGTAATGACTATATAAAAATGCGTAAAATTTTCCCAAATATAAGTATAGGAACTGAAGACAGCTTTAAAAATTCAGTTTATTTATTTATCCCAAATTATTATTTTTTTAAAATTTGAATATTTTCATGAATATTTCATGAATATTTTCGTCATTTAAAACACTTCTGTTATTGGAAGTATGTGGCTACGACCAAAGATTGAAAGGGGGGAGAAAAAATGCCAGAGAAGGACTTTTAAGTTGGGTAGAGAGGTGGGTGTATACTTTTTGTTACTCCCCAATCGCTATAAAAAGGGAGGTGCACAACTAGATGTTATAGCAGCCCTATATCCAAAATTTCAACTTTCTACGGGTAATCGTTTTTGAGCTATGCGAGATACATACGCAGAGTCGTAGCTAGGGTTTTCAGCGCCCAGGGACAACTGAAGATTTCGCGCCTCCTACTGCTTGCCAAGGATGGAAAACATTTAATTCTAAAATGTCGTAACATCAGTTTGGCGCCCCTTTAATTTTGCGTCCGGGGACAGATGCCCCCTTGCTCTCCCTCTAGCTACGCCGCTGTACATACGTACGTACGTACCCGGACGTATGCATCTTGCATAATCATTTTGCGCAGGGGAAAAAATAATGGAAATTCTTTTTTTTTTTTTTTTTTTTTCCCTGTAACCGTAGCTATGAGAGCTCTAATGTTTTAAATCATCAAAATCTCGAGCTCACACCTTCAAATAACTTGACTAACTTCAAATATATGAAATTTCATTTCGATTGGCAAGGGAATGGGCCGCTAGAGTTTCATATATCAGGGAGGTTTTTTTTTTATGACCACTCTGTATACACAGACAGACATCATTGTAATAATAATAATAATAAAACGCATTGTGGGGATCCTAATCCGAGCTTATTCACTGATATCGAATTGTAGGTTAAAAGAAAGTAGAAAGTTTTTTTTTTTTTTTTTTTTTCCTATAATTTTTTTTTTTAATTTTGTTTATGGAATTTTAATTGAAGATTTGATTTTATGTTCTTGAAACATATTGATTTTAATGATCTAGCACTTTGCGGGTGTCCATCAGCGGCCAAACGTTAAGATATCTGAATTTCGATAACAATGAAGGATTTCACTAATGAATAAATGTAAATTCGTGAAAATGGAAAATTTTCCTTTCATCTATACTAACTGCGGCCATGAAAAACAGATCATCGACCAATGGCAATAGCATACAGCACAATTATCCTTGAAGGTATCATTGATAATTGTTTTGCAAAGAAATGCAGGTTCTGTGCGGCTACTGAGGTCTTTAACATGGTCTTTGGATAAGGTACCTAAGCACGGTCCTTTAACTAGATCTACAGAGGAAGTAGAGGGCGATCCAAAAGTAAAAGATCAAATAAAAATTCAATACATCGAAAAATATAGATAGTAGCACGACATATAGAGCTAAAAATATTGGCGAGCCTTTCAAATGGTAGGCGAAAATTGGGTGGATGGCTACCCCGGAGCCACCCAATTCTCTGTTGTGTTCTCCATCATAAATAAGGCGAAACTTCACAGTGAGTGCGCTGGACTCTGCCTATACGACCTACAGTGGAATTCTGATGTACCGCCTGCTTATTCCTGTTCCTGTACATTTCACAAACGTCCGTGACTAACGGGATTCGAAACTTTGTCCTTTAGCTCTCTGTCAGCTTTCGTTAACAGCCATAACGATAACGATCTGGCGACCCTTAAACTACCGTATAATTTATGTTTTAATAATAGTAATGATATGCGTTTTATTGAATTAAAAATACTTCATAATAATTTTAATCTGTGCGATTTCAGTTTTTTAAATAGCCCATTAAAATAAAACATCAACTATGAATTAACTTCAGTAAGGCCCAGTTATTGCATGAGAAATAATTATTTTTTTATTTCATATCTTTAATTCATGTCTTTAATTATTTATATAATTAACTTCAATATTTTGTTAATGTTCATATTTTTATTTCTTTTATGCTGAATGGCAACAAGTAGTTCATATTTATATTTAAATTTCTTTTATGCTGAATGGCAACTAGTTCTGATTCATGATTGCTTGGTTTTGGTTTCCAAAACGTTGCTATTCTAGTAGCGTCGCATTTCGATAGCTGGAAAATAAAAAGCAATAAACTTAGCTATTTGTTTATAATTCATGCTGTTCCTAATCATAATTTAGTTTCGAACATTAGTCGCCAAGGCCACAAAGGTATAATGCTGAAGAAAAGTAAAATAAGGATTTTGTGATAAAGAACTCGCAAATTAATGAATTGATTTGAAATTTAATCAGTAGAATTAAAGCTGTAATAAAAGAAAATTAAAACTCTAGCTACGTAAATGATTACCAGTCTAATTACACAAGATTGTCGTAATTATCCTTGCCTTCAATCAACTTTTTTTTTTTTTTTTTTTTTAATTAAAAAGATCTGACATTTTGACTTCCACAATTTCCACGACTGATAAATATTAATGTATCATGACAGCACTTGTATCTTCAAAGCGCAGTAATTATTTTTTATGTTAAATATTTTTACGGCAACGGTGATGTATCTCTCGAGAGAGTCTTTGGTTTCAGAATTCAAAACATATAAAATAAACATATTATCTTTAATCCTATGAATTTCCTCAGAATTCTTGTCTTTCTTCGCAGTTCTATTATTTTTAAGTTCTTATTAGAGTTTATTTTGATTTGAGCTGGCTGTATAAAAGAGTTCCTTCTGAAACAAGCATTATTATTTATATAGTTTATTATTATTATCGGGCTTGTCAATAAAAATAGCGAAATTTTAGTTTCAAAAAGTACCGCTTTTCGAAGAATTGAAAGAATCTTCATAAATTTTTGAAACTTTTATTTTTCAGAATAATTTTATGTTTCGGTTATATTATTCTATGAAATCAGTGTTACGTAATTAGTTCTTGCATGGCATATTTTTTCTAAATTATTAGTTCAAAGGGCGTTAGCCCAGAAGGCCTATTAATTTCGTTTTGATATTTTGCATCGAAATTCTGAATCACTTTTAAAATTGTTGCCACCAAATATTATGGCCATGTATTATATTTAAAGAAATTAAATGATGTAGAATCTGCATAAATGTATATATGTTTCTCGCATTGTGATAAAACGACGGTGCCTAGAGCCATGAAATTTTGAATAACGCATGTCTCCACCCGAATATGGGCATGTGGAAATCCAGATTTAGAATTTGTTTTATTATCTATTTCATATTTTGTAAAGCATTTATGAGTTTTTGATTAAGAAACTCAACGATTGCAAAGCGAGGAATGGCAACACTGTAGGAATAATAAAAAAAAAAAAAAAAAAATATTATCTCCAGCGCGCAAGTCTGTGTATAGGAAATTCTAAAGATATACTCTTTTTAAATTATTTTGCGATTTTGCTGTTGAATTGAATTATATGGTTTAAGTGCGAAGAACATTGTATTTAAAATAAATAAAGGTAACACACAAAATGTTATAAAAACGCCCGTTTGGGCGTAATTTTTTTAAAAATTCCGTTGCATTAATTTAATTAAAAAAAAGCATTTACAATATACAGTTAATCGGACTTCCGGAATGTTAATTGCAATTATAATTCATTTAACTGACAGGTTCTCTCCTCTGCATGGATACTGAAACTTCTTTTCGCTTGTTTGCTATTCCCGCTTAGTCATGTGGTCATGTACACGTGACTAACCAAGAGCTCCCGAGGCTTTTAAACCTACTTTCACCGTTTCGTCGCCTTGCTTCAAGGTTTCTCTGTTAGTGTGTGTTGTGTATCAGTAGATTGCGACACACGGTGGTTAGCAGCGATGGTTAATTTTTGTTTGTGAATACTGTGTGGATTAATTTCCGATTTCGAAGAACGTAAGTATTGTTGATAGCGGTGTTTTATTGGGTATGTACAACAAGTAAAGTCTTGCTCATTGTCTACGTTTTAAAGTGATTTCTTATTTTGATCGAGCTTTGGGAGAAAAGACTTGATGCATTGTTCTTTACGTACTTGTGCTTTTGTGTTTACATTCGTTTGACAATTCATAAGTTAACCCATTACTTTACCATATTCATTTTAGTAATAGTATCTTCAGCATGTAAAGATTTGATGCGAATTTTTCTTTTATTAAGGCAAACTGTTCACCATTATTTAGCACTTACTCTAATTTGAACAAACAGGTGTGTTATATAGTAATACTAACTCGAGTGCAATTGTCTGAAGATCTATGTATAGTGCTCGCGGATTTATTGATTTGCAGATCTGCATGTGCATTAGGTAAGAAAAGATATGTAAACAAATACTGCAGAACATTTTTTGGTTGTTTACTTGTACTAAATCATTGTTATTTTATTCATATGGAATACTGCCTTAAATGACTATTAGATTATTTGTACTACTATTTGACTTCTTCAGTTTATTTAGGAATAAAATGTATACTGTATTGACACTTTCGCTTCTGTTTGAAAGTGGAATAGATTACCACGTACTTTTATTCTTTTGTTTATGCTATAACAGCATTATATATACTTGAATATATTCTATCTCTAAAAGTATAATATTAATAAATATTTACAGTCAGCAAGATGGCAGAAGCAAGAATTGCAGTTGCTGAACCAAGAGTAAATACTATAGAAGAAATATCTTCTCCTCAATCATGGAAAGATGTTTTAGGTTCATTTAGAAGTATAATTACTAAACGTTATTACAAAGTTAGGTAAGTATTAATTGTTAGTCCATCATGGAAATAAAAATTCCCTTCAATTTTGATAATTGTTATGACTCTCACTGTGTATATTAAATTGTACCATATTAACATGTGGATTCCGCCCCTTTATTTTTACTAATTTAATTGTCCAGAAATCCAGAGGGGAAAATTATGGGAATAATTTAATTTCCGAAGGATGCAGTTAGGGTAAGAAAATATCAAATGAAAAGTAGTCATGTATAAACTGCAGGTAACTATCACAATATAATTTCTTTTAAAAAAACCAGCATTCATAAAATAATTCATTAAAGAGTGCATAATGATAATAACATTACAATATCTAATAAGATATTTTTATTTCTCTTTCCCTGTAACTCGAATCTTGCCCATTCCTATTTGTGTCTTTGCTACTCCTTAGGCCTGAAATCATTCATGAATAATTAGAGAAGGTGAACATGCAGTTGATTAAGTGAAATCTTAATGGTAATTTGTGTTTGCTTTCGTACGACTGGTTGGTTTTTTTATTGAGGTTGGCATAAAGTTTAACAGTTACAAGGGAAAGTGATCTTCACATGTATTTCGCAAGGTAGTCTATGTTAGTAAGATGAAAAAAATCACTATGTGGATGAATCTGTTTCAAAATTCAGCGGAACTTGTTTCTCTGAAAGCAATGAGGAAGAAAATTGCATGAATAATTTAAAAAAAATTTCAGAACCTGGGTTAAAAGCTAAGTGTAAAAATAAGCAAGCAAATACAATATTCTAAAATGAATGATCTGAGTTTTACATTATGTATCATTAATGCATATAAAATTTTACTAATTTGGATTTTGTGGTAATAAGCAGAGTTTAGCAAGTATAGCTGTTTTCAAAGGATGAAATGGTAGTATATAATTGCAAATTCAAAGCTGTCAAAAGATGAAATGGAAATATGTAATTGCACATTCAGAATTGTATATTTATAAAATGAAATTATCATTCATTAGTGCAAATTCAAGATTCAAGAAAAACAATGAAAAAATAGTTTTTCATGGTTTAAAGTATATTTGTAAAATTTTCCCCCTTTTGTTTTTGTGTTGAAACATATTATTTAGCTGTTTATAGTTCAGTTAAACATTGATTTCAGTTTTGTGTTGAGAGTGTTCTCAAATAACCTGTTTGAAAATTTTTGTTTTTCAGTTTCAAATATTATTTTTACCATGTTGATATTTATTTTATTTTATTTTGTTAGTATCTTGCTTATTGATTAAAATAGGTTCTCAGCATTGGTTTAAAAACTGAATTCATACTGAACAGAAATCAAGGTTTAATTTTATAAGAGGCAAAGCTGTGTGGAAGGCCATCAGGAGATTTAAAAAAATGAAGTAAATAAAATAATAAATAACAAGTAATAAAATCCAAAAAAAAAAAAAAGTAATTAAAAAATTAATGACAAAATAAGTTCAGTAATAAATTAAAATACCAGAGCTTTTTTTATTTGGGGCTGTGGCTGGAATTGGAGTTGAGTGCTGGCTGAATGTAAGCCTTCCAGAAAATATTCAGTATCTTCTAGGTTCTAATATTAAGTTCAGTGAAAATTGGGCAATTATTATGTTACCTCACTGTTATGCTGTATGAAGTGTAACATTCTGTAGTATCTTTAGAATTACTTTGCAAAATCATATACAAATTTTATAAAGATTATAGAATGATATTTTTAAACAGTAGTCCCAATCTCTATGTCATATAGAAAAGCAAACTTTTTATTCTTAAGTGTTGAATCATTTTTAATGGAATTTCTGCCTTTTTATTTGTAGTATAATGTTTTTTAACCTAACTAAACTTATATAAAATTTTGTGCAAATTTATACAAATATAAATAGATATTTGCATCTATAATATAAAGAGAGAGCGCAAGGAGAAAAGAAGGCAAGAGGAATGCAGGAAGGAGAAAAGGGGACAGAGGGATTTCGGGGAATTGGGGAGAAGAAAGAACTTTAAACTGAACTAACGGGAAAATATACCAAATATGATATGAATGTTTGTTAGAAACAAATAGTTTGTCTAAAAGTTTTTTTTTCTTCCATATGTTCTTCTTTTACGTCAAAATTTGGGAACAATATTCTGTTCAAAAATGAAAACTGTTTAGTCTTTAATACCAAAAGAAAATTTGATTGATTTATATATGCTTTTAAATAAAAAAACCTACCCTAGTTATTTTAGACAAACAAAGTAAGGGAGCTGTTGGAATTATGGCCCTGTTTCTCTAAATTGAATCATTTTTATTTTATTTTTCTATAACTTAATCTTTAGAGTTCTATTAAAAGTTACTATTACAACTTTATTTATAGAAAATTGGACTATAATTCTAAAGGACTCCAAAGAAGTTTAATATTGGATTTTTTTTTTTTTTTTTTTTTAGTGTAATTCTATAACACATTTTGGTACTCTTCTGTTATCGGGAGTAGATTCAGAAATACATACAAATATGCATACATACATACATTTCTGAATCCAGTCTTGATAACAGAAGAGCATGGAAATTTTCCCTAGGGCTAGTTCACAAATAGATTAAGAAATGTTTATTCTTTAAATATTCTTTCATATAATTTTCCCAAACAGTTTGGAATAAACTATCTGGTACTGAAGCATTTAACCTTTATGATAATTGAAGTATAAATAAGTGATAGTGATCTTTTTTGGCAGATTTAAATTCAGTGTGATATATTTAATAATTATATTTTCATATTTATTATATTTTTATCTCTTAGTGCATCATCATGAATATTAATAATATGTGCATGTTCATGTATTCGCATAATTTCTTCAGAAATAATAGAAATTGCTTAAAGTCAGCTTCTTTCTATTTTTCTATGTGAATTTATTGTAGTGAACTCCTTTCCAAATGCTAGTTTGTATTTCAATATACTCAAAATATTAAAATGTACTTTGATACTCAATATTTAAATGTACTTTGTGAAGTATTACATGTTGAATCGTAATAGATATTCTAAGTGGTAATTAATGTTTTATTTATTTTCCAGAAACCTTATATATAATGGAGTTTGGCCTGCTTCTTTATCAAATGTTAGATTTACAATTCTTACATGTATTTTATTGATGTTAATAGAACCAAGCTTAACCTCAAGCATTAATGCATCGCTTTGGAATATTGCTCATTTGTTATGCATTCCTCAAGGTATATTAAGCTTGTTTTATTTTCAATAATTACTTAATGGCAATAGCATTGGTATTTACATATTTAGTGGCCAAGTAGTGCGATTTAGCACAAAATATGGATGACCATGTCCTTTAGAATTCCACAGTAATAATTAGTGGCCGTTGCCAAAATTTTTACCAATGATCGATGGGATAATATGCTAAGTACCAAAATTTTGTTCAAGCATGTAATGATTTATATAAAACACTTATCCACAACTGGCACTAAAAGATACAATTTTTCTATCCTTTATTGTTTTGAATTAGTTATTTTAGGTACTTTTCAAACCCTTATATTACTTTAACTGAATAGGTATGGATGCAGTTTCTTTTAACATTTACAGTGGTTCACATTTGTTTTCAAACACTTGTTTTTCTGTTTTATTTCCTAATATCAGTTACTAAATATTATCAAATTGACTTTATTTTTCTTTCATGTATACTACTGGTCATCTTTTTTAAAACTTGCTTGTTTTTAAAAAAATTATTTAAAGCGATTTTAGTTAAAAAGTATGTACTTATGTATTATTTCCGTTGACCACGAAACTGTCGCAAAGCAGCATGATTTAGCATCAGTTATGGATAAGTGGGATGTAACAACATAAAATCTGCACTTTTGTTTGATATAACCCTGACTGTTTCTTAATATCCCATGTTTTGATTTTATGAATAAGGATATAAATTAACTGTTATTGCTGTATTTTTTCTTGTATTTTCGGGAAAAAATTATTAAAATTTGAGAACTGTCTTCTTCAGAGCAGCAAGCAGTAGATTATTTTCAAAGTTAAGGGATCCTACCATCATAAAGTGTGTATTACAGTATGGTTAGTTGAATAAGGCTGACAAAAGAACACTATCTGTGGGACAACAAAATTACCTCCAGGAGGTTTAATCTAATAGTATTATAAACAAAGTTTCTGGTAAGATCGGAGGGCCTAACAAAATAATTGATATCAACAAAAGCCTTTTTAACGTAGATCAAATGCTGATTTTTTATTCAGGCATCAGTTTCTTCAGAATTCTGCAAGAGCGATTGGCTTTTAAGTGTTTAGTGGTAGCCAATTTTCATGGTTGATGGGATTGTATGTAAATACCAAAAAGCAATTTATTCAAAACGTTCTGTAAATGAACTCGCATAAGTATTGGGGCACTTTGAACAGTTTAGATTTAATAAAAACATCAAAATAATGGGATAATACTTTTATGAGTTATTTTACAATGATCAATTCTTAAAACAGAGGAAAAAATAATATATTAGAAAGAAATTTAAGTTTCTATTTCAAAATAGTACAAGATCTATGCAAATAAATTTAAAAAAAAATACAAGTATCTGGAAAACAAGTGTGAGCCAAAACAGTTTGATAATCTGTTGTTAAATTTTTATGAATGTTGAAAATTTGAGTGTGCATGATTAAAGGCCACCAAATGAATCCTCTAAAAATTTCATTTTAATACTTTATTGAAATTTCTAACTTCTTCTTTTGTATGACAGCTTCCCACTCTTATGAAAAGTTTTGTAGACATTAATAAACATATAGAAATTCTTAAATTTTATAAAACTCGCACTGAAAATAATTCAATAGAAATCTGCAAAGTTTTCAAACTGTAATCGAAACAAGTTTTCAGTATCTAACATTATCGTATGGAATATAGAAGAGCCAAAATAAACCCTTTTTATTCGTAATTTTTGAGTTACTTTTTAGTCAAAATTTTTGCTTGTTTTTTAGTTTGTAATTTATATAATATTTTGTGCAATTTGCTTGGACAGTGTTGCTTATATAATACAAAAATTATGTTTTGTAAAATAGTAAAATCAATTTAAATAATAAGGTTAGTTAAGAAAGTTAAATTTATGCTGTTAATTATAAATTAATTTCTGAAATGATGCTTTTAAAAACTGCTAACATATACCCCTATGAAAATAGTTCTTACTTAATTAACTTAATTATTATTTAAAATTATTTTCCTATTTTTTTAAATCAAGAAATTATATTAAAATTTTCTGATAGGAAGAAATTGCATTGGTTCTGGGCAGAAATGAAAATTTAATTCATTCTCTTTAATCCCAAAAGAAAATCTTGTTGATTTTATAATGCTTTTTAAATATTCAAAAATTTTAATGGGACCTTTAATAGACCATTAAAGCAAGGTAACTCATTTAGAATGTTTTAAATTGTGGTTCAGTTTTCTTTTAAACTGAATCTGATTATTTTATGTAGAATTCTGTAAGTTGACTCCATATATAGAATTACAATGTATCTATACATTATATGTGGGACCTTTAGAAACTGAAAATTTTTATAGAATCTTAACTTTAAAGACCGCTTTAATAAGGAAATACCTAAAATTTTTTGGGTTTTTTTTTTTTTTTTTTTTAAATTTATGTTGTTAATGTACCCAGTTCTTGAAACATCTTAAAAAAATAATCTTGAGGAATTCAAGTTTGTATGTCAGGCAAAAAGAATTTTTCCTATTATAAAATTTTATGACTTAGTGTATCTTGTATGCATATAATCTGTCTATTTAAAAAGTATTTGCAAGGGTATTCTCTCTCTGTTGATTTAAATGTGAAACATATGTCTTATTATTTTATTCTTTTGTAAATTATCACGAGAGTACACTTTCATAATGATCATTTGACTAATTTATGAGTATTTATTTTTCCATATGTTTTGCAATTTTTTTCTTTGGCATTAAATAACTTTTATGAATGAAGATATTTAACAGTTTCTTTAATATCATACATTTTCAAAGTTCATTAATTTTTTGTATTTCATGTAGTATATTGCTGAAATTATGGGAAATACTTTTTCACACAGTTTTAAAAATTTTATTAGCTGATTAACTGTGCTTTAATTTTTATAAATTTATATTTTCAGGTTGTCCTAGAACACTACAAGCTTTAATTGTATCCAGTATAGTTGGAATTGTTTCTTTTATAGCACTGATGATTTTACGACAAAGCTTATTAAGGCTTCTTTTGTCTTACAGAGGTTGGATGTGTAAGTATTGATATGAGTGTATATTTATTATGTGTCTTAGCTGTAGCTGTTTTTATTAATGTTATTCAAAGCCCTCTGCCATTTTGAGTGTCTGTATGTTGTTTTTATATGACTTATCCCCCCCCCCAAATTCAGTAGCCAGTGAAGTGTTGTTAAAACTACAAAACTGAAGAATTCAGGTGGGGAGAAATTCAAGTGTACATAATGTGCACTCTCTTAATTTTAAATAAATACAAAAAATGTCATTGTAACTTCATTGCCATGTTTTGGTCCTACATCTATGAAAAATGTGTATATTTTTTATGCTTTATTTCCAGAATACCTTGATGATCATTTTTAAGATTAACCCCTTCGAGCCGGGTAGCGAAAACGCACGCTTATCGCTGAGGCTGGCAGTGTCTTACGCGAGCGTCTCTCCAGGGCCGGGGGCTTTTTTGCTACTAAGCCTAACACCATTGAAATTTCCGAACGATCAACGCAGTTTAATAATGCTCTATAGAGTATTTAACGGTGTCTTATATAAAATATTTATATATAGACTTAATTACCTTATTTCTTGTTAAATGATATTACACATTTATTTTAATATTCACTCATTTTATGAATTTACTCCAACATTTTATACATACTGAAATATACTAAATATAATACTTAAAATTCTCCTTTTCGTATGATAATAATTTGGAAATACAGTGGGATCTACCAACAGTCTTACGGTTTACTAGTTCCTTGCACTTGTAGCATATTCAGTTTGCCGTTATGGAGGGATATGTTCCTGCCGGAATGTGTGAACAAACTGAAGCATCGTCATCTCAATTTTCTATCAGTCTCTGTCTGAACAAGTTTGGAAAATGTCTTTCCGTTTAGTCTTCAGAATTATTAATATAGAATTTTCAGAACAAATCCTGAAAAATTTGCTTAGTCATTCTGCTATTTCTGCTCTAGTATAACATATTCGACGCTTACTTTCTGACATATCACACACGGTAAAAATTAAAAATACAACGAATTCACGCTTTAACCAAGATCTAAATATATTTAAAGAATTCTGAACTGCCAAACCGAAATACCCAACGCTTTAGGAAATAAACTCTCTACTTGCAGTAAACAACTACACGTGCGAATTCAAAGAGACATCACGCCATCGAAACATTTATTTCCCGTTGTTTATATAATCAAAAACTACGTGTATATATAGTAGTCATGCTATCTCTCATTATTGCGTAGCAAGGATCTATACTTTACATGTATCAGTGAAAACCATTATGGACATACAGTGCCATCTTGTTGGCAGAAAAAAGATATAGTTTGTAGAAAAACGTTCCAATGGTACTGTGCACAATTACGTGTCAGTCGCGTTTTAGAAGATATCTGGCACGCCTGCGTGTCGGCCGCTAGGTAAGTGCGTTCGTTGCTGGCACATATACGTGACAGTCGGCGCGAAGGAGTTAAAATAGTTTTTCATTTACTGCATCCAGAAGGTTGCATTTTTAAACAGTGCTATCCATTATACGCCTGCCATGCATTTTGGTGGTGCTTTTGTAATAATATGAGTATGTGTTTAATTATTCTTTTTATACACACATGCACATAGTCCCGAGGTAATAGTATTGTTGGATCTTGGGCATGTGTTTGTCTTCCCTTAAAGAAGTTATATTTTCAGTGGCATTAGATTTGCAGTTTACTAGCTTGTAATTTTTTAATCCTCTTGACTTTTTATAAAAATTGCATATTTTTTATTGCACATTTCAAATCTACATGTATTTAAAAGTTAAAATACGTAGCACCTGTTTGTAACCAAGCTGTTTTGATATAGGTTTCATGCATAAAAACAGGCTTTCATAAAAATCAGTTTTAAGAGTAATCGTATGAAGAAAGAAAATCTAGTTATTGCTAGGCAACCTCAGTTGATTTCAGTCAAATGTTTGATATTTTGCCATTTTAGCATGATTTGTGTTGCAGTAAATTGTAAAATTAATCTCTGGCAAAAAATGGAATTGACTCGAGAATATTTTCGTGCGTTATTTTTCATAATTTCAATGTGAATTATCAAGATAAGAGTCCTTTGACAAACTTAATTCTTTATACAGTGATAAAGCATCATCGTG